ATAAATCTGTTAGTCTTTAAGGTGCCACCAGACTCCTTGTTGTTTTTGTAGATACAGACTAACACGGCTACCCCCTGTTACTGGACTAGAGATTGCTAGCCAGTGGGTGTTAACGGGCTGAAAACCTGCTCTTGGGCAGAGACGGAGACTTGAGATATTTGTGTCATGTAACTGTCTGGAGTGGGAGGAATGGATTGTTAAAGGACTGGCTGAAACCAACCCACATCAACAGAAGATCCGGAAAGACAAAGGGAGCCGCAGGGACTGAACAACTGACCCCTATTTATGGGAAACTGACAAAGAGACAGAGGGATAGGGCAAATGGATTCCACGCCCGCTTGGCTTTGTGATGTGCTGCTTGGCCAGGCTGGACTATGTCTATGCAAACTTAAGGACTTTCCGATGCTGCATTACAGCTGACTAGCCCTGCTCCGTTTTGAAATAGCTGCCTGATGTCACTGCAAATAGCTGCGGAGGTGCATTGGTCCCTGCTGTCTCAGGTGGACTCCCTGGGCAGGAATCAAAGTGTGAAACAGTAGTGCTGGAGCCCAGAGGCTCAGTTTAGGAGATGTGGAGGCTGTGTGGCCTACCCCTTAAGGAAGAGCAGGACTCCTTGGGGGTCTGCAGGGGTTCCTCCAAGGGACTGCTTAAAAACAGGGGCAGAGCACAGATCCTGTGGATCTGAGACAAAACAAAAGAGGCCTTTGAAGCCCATTTCACAGGTAGGCAGAATATTATATGTGAAGGGCCAAATTTAATAGAAGGTGACAGGAACAAGGGGAAACAGTAGGGTTGCCAACAATAGAAGGACTACACCTAGTAGAGAAACTGGAATGCATTAATGGCAGAAAGCAACCTGTGCAGGAGATGTATCCACACATCTTCCCAGGGCCAGGACAGTTGTCAGGGGAGTTCAAAAGAAAACTGATGCCATCGGTGACTCCCTTTGCTCTCACAGCCCCACACCACATCCCCACACCCTGCTAGCGAAAGTCAAAGAATTCATGAGACTGGAAGATATGGGGATTTCCCAGACAGAAGAACCCACTGATTGGTGTGCGAGAACGGTTGAAGTATCAAAAGCCCAATGGCAAAATCCAGATTTGCCTGGACTTTACACAATAAAATAAACATGTGTGCAGAGAAAGAAAAGATCAATGCTTCCTGCAGTTGACCAGATATTAGAGATTAATTTATCCCTGCGGCTGGTACTTCAGAAACAGATGCTCTCCAAAATCCATGAGGGACACTAAGGTATAAACAAGTACAAGGCATTTGCACAAACAATTGGATGATCTCTGAGAAGGCAAATTCAGACCTTAGTAGAAGGCTGTGAGGTATGTAACAAGGAAAGAAAACAATCACCAGAGCCGCTGCTCTCCACAAAGCTACATGACAGACCATGGCAGTGGGTAGCCACAGTTCTTCTGGAAAAGACACATACATTATTGTAGCGGATTGCCTCCCCAGGTACATTGACTTAGCTGTCCTTACACAGAGTTCATCAGCACAATCATCCAGAAACTAGTCAATATCTGCAAGACAGGGAGTTTCTGAAATCCTCATGTCTGATAATGGGCCTCAATTCACCTCTGAAACATCCCTAGCATTTGCACAGGACTTTGATTTTGAACGTCGTACTAGTAGTCCACATTACCCCCAGAGCAACGGGGAGATGGAGAGGTCGGTGCAGACATTACAAAGACTTCTGCAAATATCAGTGGACCCACAGAAAGGACTCCTGGCATATCAGTCAACACTGTTTGCCTCTGGGCTATCTCCAGCAGAACTTCTGATGCAAAGACAGTGAAGGAGGCTTTTACCTGTGGCACTGACTCAGCTCAAACCTCACTGGCCCGACCTGAAGGAATTTTGAGAATGGGATGCTGAAATAAACATTAGGCGGCAGCAGCAAAACTTGAATGTTTGGCACCGAACAAAAGCAGGGCCTGGACTGAGACAGAGATAAAGTTCGGCTTAAAGGCTCGCAGACATTTGGAACTTGACAGAAACTCCCAGATCCTACCTAGAGAAGACTCCAAGAAGACTTCTCTGGAGGAACTGGCTCCATCTTCAATATTTCCCAACCCAACAGAGGATCAGGAACCTTCAGGTACTCTGTCAGGATGTGAGAGCCTCTCTTAAGGGAACTCCACACCCAAACTCAACAGAAATGAGAACACAGTCTGGATGTGTGACCACATCTCCTCCACGACTTGATCTTTAGAATACTGCTCAGGACTATTTAAATGCTATTGAAAAGGGGACATATTAGTGTAAACAGTTTTAAGGAATGTTCAGTGTATTTTGAATTGCTGTGTGAAAATACTCTGGTTATTAATTTAGGTTTTAATCTTTTATTATAAAGAAAGGGAGGCGTGGAGTGGTTATAGAACTCCTGATCTCCACGAGAACTATAGCAAAAGTGAAAATGCTGTATTTTTATGGTTTCTTGCAATATGACTTACACTCCAGCAGCACAGGAGAGACTACAATATTGACACAATAAAGAGGAAAGAAACAATGTGAAAGGAGCAGACAGACCAAATGTACAACCTTAGAACAGTGCACAATTCGACTGGGAGACCACAGCACCTTTGGCGGGAAGGTAGGAAAAGCTGTGCAAGATGTGGCAAGACACCAAGCCACAGCTGGCAACAACCAGCAAAAGAAGCAGACTGTAGGAGATGCCAGAAAATGAGACATTTTGGACAGGTTGCAGCGGGCAGCTCAAAAGACATAGGAAGGAACTTCCTGGTAGAGTTCTCTGGATGTTGCGTATGTCTCCTCACACATCATCAACAAATGAGCCTCCCACCCCACCTCACCCCACTCCCGTACCTCAGGGAAAACCTCACCGCCAATTAATCAGATCTCCGCCCCCATGCCCCAGGGGCAAACCTCATAGCCAACAAATGCGCCCCCCCCCCCCCCCCCGGGCAAACCCCATAGCCAACGAATGAGCTCCACCCCCCAGGGTAAACTTCTCAGCCAACAACAGACCCTCCCTCACCTGCTCCAGGAAGATCATCTCTGCCAGCTTGTAATTCTTCTCCAGCATGGCTAGCCGGGCACGCACCTGGTAATAATCTGTGCCGTCCCCACCCTATAAACACACACAAACATCTCAGACAAGCTGGGGGATGCGGCACTGGGCATGGTGCAAGAGAGGTGGCTGTGGGAGGCCAGCAACTGGCACCCTGTGAGGGAGGCAGCTGCAGGAAGGGCACTCTGGGCACACCATGAGGGAGGCAGCCGGGGGGGCACTCTGGGCATCCCGTGAGGGAGGCAGTCGGGATGGGTGGAGCTGGGAGGCCTGGGTGAAGGACAGTGTGAGCAATTCCCACATGGCTCAGGGTCTCCAGAAACCCCTGCCAGGCCAGAGTGATCGGCTGCACACTCTCCATGCCGGGGAATGTAGGCGTGGCGCGCGCACGCGCGCACACACGCACACACACACACACTCTCTGCTGCACAGCAGAAATGAAGCTTGACTCACATATTCCTTGGCCACCTGGTCGGCGATCTCATTGGTTTCATGGAGGAATCGCGCCTTTGACACGTGGCCCAGCGCTGAGAAGCATCTGGGGAGAGTGAGGAGGGCAGAGTCACCAGCAGCATGGGCTGCCGAGCAGATACTTGGGCTTTTATCTGCCCTCAGACCCAGAAGGCAAGGCCAGTGCTCAGAACACTGGGGCAGGTAGTCACAGCGAAGTAAGGCCAAGCCATAGCTCAGTCTGACTCCACAGGAGGGAGCTCGAGCCCCATGCTCTGCCTGTTTTCCACCCCCACAGAGCCATGAGCTCTGCTCCATAGGAGGGAGCGCCAGCCACGTGCTCTGTCCAGGCCCCACCCTCGTAGGGCTGTCGGCCCATGGCAGGGAGCCCCAGACACCTGTTTGTATCCCCCACCCCCACAGAGCCATGAGCTCTGCTCCATAGGAGGGAGCGCCAGTCACGTGCTCTGTCCAGGCCCCACCCTCGTAGGGCTGTCGGCCCATGGCAGGGAGCCCCAGACACCTGTTTGTATCCCCCACCCCCCGCCATGAGCTCTGCTCCGCAGGAGGGAGCGCCAGCCACGTGCTCTGTCCAGGCCCCACCCTCGTAGGGCTGTCGGCCCATGGCAGGGAGCCCCAGACACCTGTTTGTATCGCCCACCCCCCGCCATGAGCTCTGCTCCGCAGGAGGGAGAGCCAGCCATGTGCTCTGTCCACATAGTGATCTGTAGCAGAGCTATGCTACACGGGCATGTGTCCCCACGTCTGCCCTAGGGCCGAGGATGGTAAGACTGAGCCAGCTCCTGGGATGGAGAACACTGCGCACCCTACTGCAGGAACTCTGGCTCACAAGTAGCACTGAAAGGCACAAGATCCAGTTCTCCTTGGCCAGAACCTGGGCCACTGGGACCAGGCCTTTGGGGCGTGAGGAACCCCCAGAAGGAAAGGTACCGGGTGGCAGGTTCCTCCCTGTACCTCTCAGCGATGTGCAGCTGCTTGGCCTCCAGGGCCAGTCTGCTTAGGGTCTTCCACATGGCTTCGGTCTCCGTGGACATTTCCAGCGTCTCCAAGAACGCAGCCGCCCTGGGGAGAGGAGGGTTTGCAGCACGTTAAAGCAGAGGGAGGGGGGTTACATGTGACCCTGCAGCCGGGATGGAGGCAGGTCACTAGGAGGCCCTGGGGCTGAGCAGCCCCTCAGCTGGGCCTATCCTAGGAGTGTCTGACGCTCTCTTCCACTTTGGAAAACCCGGATGGATTTTGTTCCACACAACCGCCACCCTTTGCCCTTTCTCCTGGCCACGGACAGGGCTCTGGCTGGTGCTACATTAACTGCTCAGTCCCTGCCCTGCATGTCACCCCAGAGGCCCAGAAGCCCATCCAGCCCTGCCGCCCACTCTCTGGCTGTGTCTGAAACCATGTCTCTCATGCAGGAACAGGCTGTGGGCAACCCAAGGAGCCCCACCTGCTGGGCCTCTCTGGGGATCCATTGAAAAGCATCACGGCTCCGCGGAGGGCAGTGACAGGGGAAGCCTGAGGATGGCAAACCAGGGCTAGCCATTTCTTGTTGCTTATAACAGTCACAGACACACCCCGCTGTTACCCCTCTGGCTACAGCAGGGAAATCCTGTCCCCCCTGAACTCCCAGTGACTTCACTGGGGCCAGAGTCTCACACAGCGAGTCTCTGAGTGCTGAGAACTAGGCTGGCTCTTTTCGACCATTTGGCCAGAAGCACAAAGATGTGCCATGTTTTACTTCAGAAGCAGCTCAATACCCCACCCACCACCCCAAACCTACCTCCCACTGTTATGCAAACAGAGGGGCCAAGCTGCAGTTCCAGCCCCACAGGCCCACAGAGCCCCACAGACAGTGTCTGCATCCATGCACAGGCCCATGTGGGCTCAAGAGGCTTTTGCAGAGCTCTCCATCTCTGAGGAGACCTGACATAAACACGCAGCCTGGAACAGGCCCTCACACACACTGTGCAGAACCGGCATTCGTCCCTTTGCACAGGTTTAAGAACATAAGAACGGCCATACTGGGTCAGACCAAAGGTCCATCTAGCCCAGTCTCATATCTTCCCACAGTGGCCAGTGCCAGGTGCCCCAGAGGGAATGAACATAACAGGGAATCATCAAGTAATCCATCCCCTGTCTCCATTCCCAGCTTCTGGCAAACAGAGGCACCATCCCTGCCCATCCTGGCTAATAGCCATGGATGGACCTATCCTCCAGGAATTTATCCAGTTCTTTTTGAACCCTGTTATAGTCTTGGTCTTCACAACATCCTCAGGCAACGAGTTCCACAGGTTGTGCGTTGTGTGAAGAAATACTTCCTTTTTTTGTTTTAACCCTGCTGCCTATTAATTTCATTGGGAAACCCTGGTTCTTGTGTTGGAGAAGGAGTAAATAACACTTCCTTATGTACTTTCTCCACACCCGTCATGATTTTATAGACCTCTGTCGTATCCCCCCTTAGTCGTCTCACATCTATTAGCACACACTCATGCTCTGGCTGTGCTCTCATATTTGCACACATATCCTGGGACATCACACCTGGCTACTGCACTCCCTTCTGCTACTTATACTGGGCTCAGGGGAGTCTGGGCAGATTCATTCTGTAAGCTGCCACACCGCTCACAGCTCCTGGTTCCGCTCCCCTCCAGCTCTCCAGGGATTTTCTCTCGCTGTCTGCCCTGTGACGGATGGGACGGTGATCGCCAGGGACCCTCTTCTTCCCTTGAACGAAGCTGGCACCACGTCTGGTGGCTGCCCTCAGACATCTCCCTCCTGCCCACGCCGTTCTGTTCAGTGGCTAGTTGCCCTGTCCCCCACGAATCGCACCGTCTGGGCCGGATGGCTCCCCCATGCCTGCTCTTCATCACAACACCTCCCTCACTTCCACCCACTCTTTAGCCTCCTTGTGGACTCCACTGCCCACCCCACCCCGGGTCGCTGGCTGCCAGGACTCACCTGCTATAGTCCCCATCATCAATGGCTGTTCCAAACTCAATGAGCCCCTCGTCCAGCATGTAGGACACCGTGTTCACCCCTTCTGCCACTATCACCTCAGTCTTCCCATTGCTCCGCTCCAGGTTCACGATATCGCCCTGAAAGAGCCCCAGACACCTCAGCACCTCCACTCTCCGCTCCCATTCCACCTTCCACTGTGCGCGGGGAGAGGGCTGGGGGCACCCTGGGAAGCTTTGCCGTAGTCTCCTACAGGTAGATGAGCTCAGCAGAACTGACCCCCACCAGGCACTTGGGCCAACCCCACCATCACAAGCAGAACTAAGAGAAAGGTCATTTCTCCCAGTGAACTCCCCCACTTCACCCGCCCGTTTTCTGCTCTCTCCATCCCCTCCTACCTCACAGCTTTCAGGAAGGTCAGACCCCAGGCTTCCTCCTATTCCCCTTTCAAAGCACCACCCCATCTGTTCTCGCTGCATAAAATACTGATCTGCCCAGCGCCCTCCCAGAACCCCCACACATGACGCTGGGTGACGGTGGGGAGCTCTGGGGGAAGTGAGCAGACTGGAATTTTACCTTCAGTGGGAACATGGTAACTCGCTCTGGGGCATCGTTGTTGTACCAAATGCAGAGGCTGTTTCTGTTCTGAGCCACCACCACATCACTGCCTGGGACCCACTGCACATAGGAGCAATAGTTCAGGATCGTGGTCTTGGTGCTGCTCTCAATGTCATAAAGCTGCAACTAGATGAGGAAAGAGACAGAATCAGCAGGGTCTGTGACTGGGCTGTGACGCACCCCGGCAAGGACACTGGCACCCTGCATCCAGCCACCTAGTGCTGTGACACAGCCGGATCTCACATGCTGAGCCAGGTCAGGTCTGCTCAGCACCTAGATGGGAGATTTTCCAGGCACAGACATCTGCTGCAGAGACTGAGGTAAGTAGGTTGGGGGCGGGGTGCTCTCCCCTCAGGGCAATACTGATCCCAAGAACCCAGTATGGTGCTAGGCTGTGCTGTGGGGCCACTCCCAGAGAGAGCCAATTGTGACGATCTGGGGAACCTGTTTTCACAAGGTGTTTCTAGGCATAAGCAAGAAATCCCCAGCTGCTTAGCCTGGGCTAGCCCTAAAGGTCAAATAGAACTTGCTGATTATAGAAGCCTGTATTACTTTTTCATACCTAAGCCTATAACTCATTCATGTGTCTATGTTTGCTTGCTTTAATCTTGTAAATAACTCTCGGATTTCCTTTTCCTATTTAATACATCTTCATATAGTTTACTATAAGGCTACAAGTGTTGTCTGTGACTCTGTGTTAAGGCGATTAAAGTGCCTGAGGAATTTGCACTTGGTGCAGGTGGTTGGTGAAATCTACGTTTAGAACTCACAACCAGTTAGGGGTTTGTGCCCTGGTTTTTAACAGTCTGCCCTGAGGTTGCTTTTGTGCTACCATTGGGAGCTATATGTAGGCCATACATACTTACAGGATGGGGGAATCTATCCTGGGAAGCAGTGACTGAAAAAGATTTGGGGGTCACGGTGGATAATCTGCTGAACACAAGCTCCCAGAGTGATGCCGTGGGCAAAAGAACTAATGCCAACCTGAGAGGGATAAATAGGGGAATCTTGAGCAGGAATAGAGAGGTTTATTAGGCACTTGTGTGACCGTTGCTGGAATACTGTGTCCTGCCTTATAGTGACAGACTCATGGAGCTCAATCTATTTAGCTTAGCAAAGAAAAGGATGACTTGATCACAGTCTATAATATCTACACAGATTCATAGAAATGTAGCCTGGAAGGGACCTTGAGACATCATCAATCCAGCCCCAGTGCTGTGGCAGGACCAGTAACCCTAGACCAATCCTGACAGGTGTTCGTCCAACATGTTTTTTAAAATTTTCAATTACGTGAATTCCACAACCTCCCTTGGAAGTCTATTTCATAGCTTAACTACCCTGAGAGTTAGAAAGTTTTTCCTAACGTCTAACCTAAATCGTCCTTGCTGCAGATTAATGACCATTATGTCTTGTCCTACTTTCTGTGTGATCGCCGTCCTTTTTATAACAGCCCCGAGCATAGCTGAAGACTGTAATTGCCTCCCTCCCCCATTCTTTTCTCAAGATGAAACATGCCCAGTTTTTGTAACCTTTCCTCCTAGGTCAGGTTTTCGAAACTTTTTATTGTTTTCGTTGCTGTCCTCTACTAGCCTCTCTCCAATTTGTCGATATCTTTCTTTAAGCGTGGCCCGCAGAACTGGACATAGTGTTCCAGCTGAGCCCTCAAGAGTGCCGAGTAGAACACGACAATTAATTCCCATCTCTTACATACAAGACTCCTGTTAATACATCCCAGAATATTAGCCTTTTTCACAGCTGCATCACATTATTGACTCATATTCAGTTTGTGATTCACAAGAATCCCCAGATCCTTTTCAGCAGTATGACCACCTAGCCAGTTATTCCCCAGTTTGTAGTTGTGCTTTTGATTTTTCCTTCCTAAATGAGGTACTTTGCACTTGTCTTTTTTGAATTTCATCTTGTTGTTTCAGACCAATATGTCAAGATCATTTTGAATTCTAATCCTGTCCTCCAAAGAGTTTGCAACCCCTCCCAGTGTGGTGTCATCTGCAAATTTTATAAGCATTCTCTCCACTGCATTATCCAAGTCATTAATGAAAATATTGATAGTACCGGACACAGGGTTGACCCCTGCAAGACACTACATGGGGAACAAATATTTAATAATGGTTGCTCAATCTAGCAGAGAAAAGCACAACACAGTCCAACTGCTGGAAGTTGAAGCTAGACAAATTCAGACTGGAAATAGGACATACATTTTTAATGGTGAGAGTCATTAACGATTGGAACCATTTACCAAGGGTCGTGGTGCATTCTCCATCAGTGGCATTTTAAAATCCAGCTTAGATGTTTTTCAAAAAAATCTGCTCCAGTAATTATTTTGGGGAAGTTCTCTGGCCTGTGTGAGACAGGGGATCAGACTGGGTGATCACAGTGGTGCCGTCTGGCCTGGGAATCTATAATCTGTGAAACGCGGCTCTCTCCAGGGAAAGGTGAGCTGCAGTGTAAAGCACCATGTTCAGGATGTTTGTTGTTTTCTAGAAGATCTGTGTATTTCTCATGTGATTGTGTAAACAGCAACGGTGGTACAATCCTGTGCAAAGTGTCTGTGTGTTTCATGTGATACAGCTATCACGAGCCCATGAAGAGGTAAACTGTGGGCCCGGAATGCCCCCCCAGCTGGAGTTCGGGGAAAGGGTGCATTAAAGCTATGGGCAAGTCTAAGGGGTCAGTACTGATTCCAGGGGCTGAGCAGTGTGGTAGCAGCTCTCCGGAAAGGGTGCTAGACAGGCTGTGCTCTGAGAATGTGACTAGAGGCCCCAAAGCAGTGGCAGTGCTTGGATGCTGTGCAGTGTCCAGAGGATTAAAACACCTGGGATTGAGCGGCTGGATCCCCTCATGGCGGTCTGGCAAGCGTCCAAGAGGGGACACTAGATTAGAGATGTGACACCCACCTTCCCCGCCACCTTCCCTGCTCCTGGGCAGGCCCAGCTCACTGCCCGTACCCTGGGCATGCTTGTCTCCCACCTCACCCTCATCTTCTTGTCCCTGAAGAGAAGCTTGTGGCCCGTCTCATTCAGCTCCAGCCAGTCAATCTTGCTGTCATGGCTGATGGTGCCAATGTTGTAGCCACCAACAAGATCCACTGGGAAAGGGAAAGAAAAGAGGCTTGGTATGAGAATGTTCTGTCAAGCCAGGAGGTGAATGGCAGGGCAGCGCTGCAGGGCACTCAAGCTGTGGGCAGGCGAAGGATGGAGAGGGATTATTTAGGGTGGTACAAGGGGGACACAACTCAGAGCAAGGAGATGACACTGAGAAAGGGACACATAAGCTGCATATCAGGATAAGTCCCCTGACAGTGAGCTGTGTCAGGCAGGGACTCATCTCCCAAGGATGGAAGCCCATCCATCTCCTGCGACATGTAAACTAGTACCAGACAGAACACTAATAAATTCCCAGGCAAAGAGCATTGTTAAACA